TGAGGAGGGCAAACTGATCGTTGATGGAAACGAGCTGAGCGTGCTGTCTCAAGAGCTTTTGCAGCACAGCCCGCGGCTACAAGTTCTCGATCTGAGCGAAAACAAGTTGACCTCGCTGCCACACAACGTCCTTGATAGAATTCCTTTGTTGGAGACCCTCGACCTTCGTTCAAACAAGCTGACTGAATTGCCAGGCGAAATCTTTTCAGGGCTCAACAAACTCCAGAAGCTGGACCTGAGTTGGAACACTCTCAGTGAGTTGCCTGCCCAAGTTTTTGCAGGACTCATCAACTTGCAGGAGCTGGACCTGAGACAGAACAAGCTCAGCAAGTTGCCTGCTGAAGTCTTTTCAGGACTCAGCAACTTGACCTGGCTGCAGCTGGAGTGGAACAAGCTCAACGAGTTGCCTGCTGAAGTCTTTTCAGGGCTCAGCAGCTTGCAGAAGCTCAACCTAAGTTTCAACTCGCTCACTCGGTTGCATGCTGAAGTCTTCTCAGGGCTCAGCAAGTTGCAGAAGCTTGACCTGTGGTCGAACTTGCTCAGTGAGTTGCCTGCTGAAGTCTTCTCAGGACTCAGCAGCTTGCAGAAGCTCAACCTGGGGTACAACTACAACATCTACAACTCGCTCACTCAGTTGCATGCTGAAGTCTTCTCAGGGCTCAGCAAGTTGCAGGAGCTTGACCTGAGACACAACTCGCTCAGTGAGTTGCCTGCTGAAGTCTTTGCAGGACTCAGCAACTTGCAGGAGCTTTCCTTGTATGGAAACAAGCTCAGTGAGTTGCCTGCTGAAGTCTTCTCAGGTCTCAGCAGCTTGCAGAAGCTCAACCTGGGGTACAACTCGCTCACTCGGTTGCATGCTGAAGTCTTCTCAGGGCTCAGCAAGTTGCAGAAGCTTGACCTGTGGTCGAACTTGCTCAGTGAGTTGCCTGCTGAAGTCTTTTCTGCGCTTGGCAACCTGCAACGGCTTTATCTCTTTGACAACAAGCTGAATGAATTGCCTCCCGACGCCTTTGCCAACCTGTTTGCAGAGCTCAGTAACCTGCGGGTGCTCGACTTGGGACGCAACAATCTCAGTGTGTTGCCTTCTCACGGCTTTGCAGGGCTCAGAAACCTGCAGGTGCTCAACTTGGGCGAGTGCAAGGAGGTGCTCGTGAGTCGTTTTATATGTTCGCTTTACGAATTCGATCTTGCGGCAGTTTTAAATAACACATTGCCAATGTTCAGCAAGTTAAACCAGATCAGCAAGTTAAACCAGATCAGCAAGTTGCCCGCTGAGTTCTTTTCTGGGCTTGGCAACCTGCAGAAGGTTTACCTTGATTCAAACAAACTGGCCCAATTGCCTGCGAACATCTTTTCAAGCCTCAGCAGCTTGCAGATTCTCGACCTGAGTAGTAACGATCTCACTCACTTGCGTGCTGAAGCCTTCGCAGGGCTCAGCAACTTGCAGAAGCTCGACCTGCGATCCAACAAACTCAGCGAGTTGCCTGCTGAAGTTTGGGATGATATTTTTTCAGGACTCGACAACTTGCAGAAGTTGTACTTGAACGGAAACGATCTCAGCGAGTGGCCCGCAATTTGTTCAAGTATCGTCTGCTGATGAATCCCTGAGATATCCGGCTTAGATCGGCTTAGCGGATGTCCTTTCTGTTCGAAAATGGGTCGAGCTGCGGGGATCAGGTTCTAGTCGTGCTCTTTCCACCAGGCTGCATGGGTTTCTGGTGACCACTCTGAGGTCCCGGAGCCGGTCTGCAAGCACCAAGGCCGAGGCCGGGAGCACTTGAAGTATGTTCAAAGTCATCAAAGGCATCAGGCTTTATGGTTTTATCATGTTTTATCATGATTGCTGTGGGATGAGATGGGATGTCTCGCTGTTTTATTTGGGCTGGCAACTACCTGAAAACTCCTTTGGACTCTTTGTAAGGTTCAATCTATAGCCCTCCGGCAAGAAAACCATGAGGTCTGTCGGGAGCGGAACAGAAATTGTTTGTTTTGAACCTGAAAGGAAGCTGCTGAGAGAGGTGTAACAAAGTTTCCATCTGGCCACAAAACAAGTCCCGACTCAACACCTTCCAGGCTATTTCAGGTTTTTTCTAAAGATGAAAGGCGTGCCCTGTCACTGACTGATTCTAGTTCTCCGTGGCAAGACACGGTGCTCAGGCCACGACAGTCAGCGACCAGGCGCCGGAAAAGACTTTGGGCGCTGGGCGTCGCAATTTTCTGATGATTTTTTCGCGGTTCACACATTGAAACAACACCACTTGAATCCAGAACATCAGAACTGAAATGAAATACGACCAAGTGTTCGTGGCTTGGTGGGCGCACTTGCAGCACGGTGGCATAGTGGCCGTCACAATATCATCATCATGCGGTTTTATAAAGACCATGGGCCGCCCAGTGCTACATGACATATGATCCACATCTTCGGCAACCAACCGGAAAAATTGTGAAAATCGAATCTTTTCCTTTGGATCGTTTAGTAGAGAAGGGCCGTATATTAGCCGTGAGTTTGGGTGGGCCTATAGCTTTGCACTATAAAAGCCCCCCAGGTGATCATAGCACGGAATGCGAATACTTGGGGTTCCGATATTTTGATCATTGGCTGCGCACCCAAGAATCAATGCTCGGGGATACTGCCTTCCATATCAATTGATATCATATCAATCATTGATATTCATAAATCAATGATAAATATAAATAAAATTTAATAAACATCATATTGTCTGGTTGAACTCACCCTGATTATGTGCAGTCCTTCTTGGAATCGCCCTGGGTTGCGCAGTTTGTGGGCGCCTGGGTACCTGGTTTTTCTCTGCAGGTCACGTCACCTAGCTGCGGGTTCTCCACGTGGGGAGACGATGCCAGGCCTGAGAGACGATGCGCGAGAGTCGTAATGAGGACATGACCAGGGGGTGAGCTGACACGAGTTGACAGAGTTGAATTTTATATCATCATGGATCATCGTGAATCGTCATGAATCATCATGAATCATGAAAACAGTGAGATTGTTATGGATTGTGGCTTTTCAGTGGCAGCATATGTTGGAAACATCTTAGAAGATTCAGTGATCTTTCCATACCATTTTACCCTGCGGTATACAGTATGCTCGAGTGAGTGTGGAAAGGCCAGCTGTACGAAGCGAGACAAAACGCTTTGCACTTTCCGTTGAATAGATATTTTCCAAGTTGTAGGGACCTCTCAATTTGTCAAAACATGCCGGAAATTTCAGCTCCACGTCCTCTGATGGATTTCACGTCTTTTTTTTCCTGGATGAAAAACACATCCCAAGTGGGTTCGGAAACGAGGCGAACCGCGGAGCTGCCACGTTGGACAGCGAGGCAGGGAGTGGAGCTGGAGCCGATCGATTCATATCTGGCGTCAAGGGAGACGTTGAACGCGGAGGGTTCGGATTTCCGTTGTGTTTTTTTAACAAATTTGAGGCTTTTGAAATATGTTGAGCAAACGTAATTGGAATCTGTTTTGTCTCAGAAAAGTGATAGAAGTTGGGTCCAGTGGGTGCCTGAAATGTTGATCCTAGCAGGTGGCACTTCCAACATGTACCCGGTAGGTCCAATTTGGTGATCGGAGATCCTGCTTGTACAGTTGATGTTCCTGTACTGAAAATTGGGTTTTCATTGCCAGGTTTGATTGGAGGGCAAAGAAGTTCAAAGTTCATCAAAGTTTACCTTTTCACAGTTTGGTTTGAGTCGTGACACCACTTGTCCGTTGCCCCCACTTGGCCTTGCAACCTTGTTTGGTACCACCCGGCAGCATGGACAGTCGGTGCATCTTGCCACCATGATGAATGCCATCTGAGGACGCCACCTCGTTGTTGCACTATGTTGGAACAGAGTTGTTAGAGTTCCAGGGCAAACGAGGTTGATCCACGATATGCATTAGGTCATTAGGCTTGATTTGGCTTGACAGCTGCAGGACTTCCCTGCAGAGGTCCTGGAAGAGCTCGGAAACCAAGCGTTGAAGAGACGTGTGGGTCATGTTTACTGTGTTGGTTCTTTTGGTTCTTTTGGAGGTGTTGCAGATTGTCTCCGCTTCTCAAGACGGACCTGTACCACATGTGCATTCGGTGACACTCACCTCGACATGAAACGGCCAGCCAAGAACATTGAGAACAAAGCAGCCAAATCTCATGTTGCGTAAGAGAAAGTGAGAAAGTATTTGATAAACCATGGACAAATCTGTGTATTGTTACAGACTGCACTGAATTCGTGCCGCTGGACAGCGCAAAGGACTCGCTGCCTCATGTCTGTTTCTGTGGATATTCCTGGACATGGTCACTTTGATATCAAACTGACTGCTTCGAGCACCGCTGCTGACATTATTTTACTGCTACGTGAGCGTTTGCCAGACAGCCCATGGCATGGGAACAAGTTGCTGTCAAGTGGAGTCTGCCAGCTGCAGTGCGATGACATTGTGGAGGCAACCCGCCACAGCACTTTAGTCTTGACAAACTACTCAGAGATCACCAACCAGGAGACACACCTGCCTCTTTGTTCCTTTTTTTTTGGCAACAAGGCGATCTAACCAATAGGATCAAATAGAATAAAGAGAAAGTGTATCTTTAGAAGTCAATCTTTTGAATTTCAGAGATTGCAGGCCCATTATTCCACCTTTGAAGGTACTGTACTTCATAATGCTTCAATTGAATTCCATTCCAATTTCATTTGCTGCATTTGTTGGTCGCCCCACACACGTCGAAGGAGACTTTCTGCATCAAAGATACTGCAGAGCGAGGGATCACGCGCGAGCAATTGGCAAAGATTGTTGTTTTCATCTCCAAAATGGCTGACAGATGGTGCGAGACTTTCGGAGAACAGCATGGGACAAGGCTGCAGTTTGAGACCTTCAACTTGTATCATGCGAATCATTGGATCATCAAACCAGCCACCGAAGCCTGGATCTGTTGATGATGTGACAAAACATTTTCCAATTTGAGGAATCTCCTGTTTTTCTTTTTTGATTGGCCCCATTATGCAGAATCCCAGGACGGCTATGCGAAAAAGGGCTGCAGCATGGTAGAGCTCATGGCGATTCAAGTTCAGAGACCTCATTGGTTTGTGTCACATGCTTGGATCGAGCCTTGGATAGGCAAACCCTCAAGGTTGTTTGAGATCGTGTTATTGCATTGTCTGTCAGCAACAAGTTATATACTTTTCCGCTAATAATTCACATTCCCCTTGAAGCCTTGGTTGAGTTTTGGACTTGTTCATTTCGGAACCTCAATAGGATGCTGTACCAACAAGAAATGAACATCCAGCGTAATGATAGATGAAAGTCAATCCATTGCTTTGAAGCACGTCCAATTTTGTGTTGGGCAGATCTGTGAGGAGCCTGTTTGTAAGTTTCTGGCCTGCTTGGAGCAGCATGCTCTGGTGCGAGAACTCTCAAGCAGTACATTCTATTGGGTCTGTGCATATGCCAATAACCAGCACTGCGTGGAAGAAGATATCAAAAGCAACCCGCGCAGCACTTCATTCTACAGAGCTATGCAGATGTCTGAGGGAGTTCTTTTGGTGCTGGATTCAGCTGGAACGCCTTTCGAAAGGATCTGGTGCTGCTTCGAGGAAGCCATTGCCCCAGCCTTAGAACTTCCTAGAAGTGCGAGAAAGCATCATAGAACGAGAAAAATGTGACATGAACGTGAGTTTTTTTTCGTGAGTTCTGCCTGAAGGGACACGTTTTGAGTGCTAGCAGCTAGCTTGTTTCAATGCGAAACACAACCAAACAGCATGATCGCTTGGTTGATTTGCATACAAGTGAATGGGGGATAACGAGCAGGAGCAACACCAGGTCATGTTCGTAAAGGCAGGCAATGCTTCAGGAGATAGTGGATCGAAGGAGACACTGGTGTAGACAATTCCGGTATTTTCACCCTAAAAGCGACCAAGGCGATCGAACAGCGAGAGGGCAACTGGTCCAGACGACGTTTACTGCTTGATGTGGGAGCCACTGATGCATATGACAAAGCTACTCGACACAGAAGTGGTGGCCTTGTGTGGACATTTCCTTTGCGTGGTCTGCTCCAAAGGTTGAGACCATCGCCTTTTACCGTAACCCCCATTTCTGCACCATGGTGAACCTTTTCACATCACCTTACTGTAAGCCTGCCTTTCCATATATCTTTACAAAGAGGTGATAAGTGAAAAGTGATGTTTTGACCCTTCCAAACTTGTTGATCTCTGAGGCTCACGTGCTTACTGATGGACTTGCTGGAGCAGAAAGTCGAATGATTGGCATCATCGGCTTGCACCACAAAGCAGCTCGTGAGCGTCACTTTCCTCTGCGCCTTTTGGAAAAGGGCTTGAAGGTAAAGATTGAAGAACCTTGGTGCGGGACTGCAAGAAACCTCTACTGTTTTGTTGTTTGGAGAACCAATTTATGAATTTGGACGATCGATTGAATGGACAAGGTCCATGGTCCATTGTTCATATTGTTCCATTTGCATTTTATGTATGTATATGTATGTCACCTCGCAAAAATGGCTCATTCTAATTTAAGTCCTCTCTTTTTCCAGAAGGTGTCCGAGCCATAATCATGAGTTTGAATGTTGGACAGCTCAAGGAAGCTCATGCCACGCAGAACATCGACAAAGTTCGTATACTGAACAGCATAGCTCTTTCTCGTCTTGGAACTTGTGACTTTGAGCTTTTGCAGTCGTACCCCAAGGGGGATCCGAATTTCCAGCGAGTAGATGAAGCTCTTGCTTCGCACTTCGCTTTATGCAGCTGGTACGGATTTGTCCTTCAAGGAAGATGCACTGAACTCCTGGCCAGAGCTGTAAAGGCAGACGTTGGTAGAAAGATAGTGCAGCTTTCACTGACTGGGTGCCGGAATTTCTCTGACCATGAGCTTGACGTGCTGATCCAAAGCCTACCTGCAGAGTTGCGCGTTTTGCGATTAGATCTGGGATTCTCGGGTCTTGAGACTCTGGACATGTTCACATCGACGGTGCAGTGTTTGAAATCTTTGGTCCAGTTGAAGTTGCGCTTCACAGGTTCCTCGCACTTCAGGACTGCGGCAGGGCTTGGAGTTGCCCTGAGAGAGATGGAGAACCTCATGTACCTGGAGCTATGGTGCGCTGAGTTGTGAATTTCCAGTCACATTTTTCTTCATCTTGAACCAGCAAAAAATATGATTTTCAGCATTATTGTTTGCTGCGCTTTATTTTTGATTCCATGGACATGATATTGTTATTTTGATTTTTCTCAGCTGCCACGGTCCAGTGGCTGCAGGTTCATGAACTTGCCATGTTTGGAAGAATTCGGATGCTTCAGCTCTGCTTTGCAGTCTTCTCGAAACCTGGAGAGTATAGTTATTGATCTCAGCGGATGTGGCCAGGTGTCGATTGATGCGAGGATGGAACTTCACCAATCCATCAAGTCACTGAAATGGTTGCGAGGCGGCTTGGACACTTGGGTGAACATTGAAGGTTTGCCAAAGCGAGAATGGTTCGCTCCATTTGCTCATGTTGATTTTGGCGGTGTTGTCAAAGGGCGTTGCACCCGGAGCTTCCGTTTCATCTGGCAACGCATGCGACAACTCAGTGCCGGCCAGCTGCCACATGTCAGCTCAGTGTACTTTGAACCAACCAGGTTTGGCAGGTCCAGCGCCACAAGCAGTGACGAATCAGCTGGAGAAGATGCGGAGACAGAGACTCACAGCACTCAACAGGAGATGTTTGATGAAGGCAAACCGTTCCCATGCAGCCATCCTTCATGTCATTCTTTTCATTCTTCTGAGAGCGGTTATTGCAAAAGGCACCGCTGGTCGGGCCTTGGCAGAAGGATTTGTGTTGCGGGAAATGCTTGGCGCCAGAATCTGGAGCTTAGTGTGCTGATTCTTGCACAAGCAGTGGCAGAGGTAGAGAGCCGATTTTTGTTGGTTCTTCTGGTTCTCAGCCTGTTGCCCGTTGCAAGTTATAGCTTTTCTCAGTCAACAGGAGTGTCTGGCACGTTGATTTTTATGATTATTATCTCAATTGCAATTGTCAGCATTGTTTACACCACAGCTCGGCTCAACCGAATGCAAACACTGTCAAAGAAGCTTGAAGTTGAATCGGAAGCTTTGTATGCAAAGAATTTGCAGAATGACATGTCCAGGCTTTTTGGTGATTGGAGTAGAGACGATATTGCCCAGCCTCAAGTCACAAGCTTGATGGAACACTTCGTCGAAGCCAGAAAGCATCTTGATGACTTCGACAAGAATCTGTGCCTTCCACTGCGAGAGTTCTTGGAGGAGCAGCCTGGTTCCATATCTCGGCAAGATTTGCGGCCCGTACTGATGACAGTGCCAGTGGCACAAGATGCTGTCATGCGAGAAGGTGAACCCAGTCGAGTCGTAGATCTCTTGTATTGCGATGTAATCTTCGATGATTGGGAAAGAATGCTCAGTGCGTGGTGCTTTCTCAAAACCAGAGCAGAGCATGATGAGTTGCGAGACATGGAGATTGTGCGTACTCGCGATTCTTTTGCTTCCCTCCAAGCTGGTGTCAGATGTGCCGAGATGGTGGTCAAGATCAACGACTATTTAGCCACGATCCGTTTCCGTGAAGCCTCTTTGACAAAGCTGGAGAATCAAGTGGATGATGTGCACCGCTTGGCAGAACAGGTGGGACTTCTGGCAGGCAGTCTGCAGGTAGATTCCTTGCTTATGTCTGGCCGACCAGCACAGCAATCACGATTGGTGGTCGGTGTTGTTGCTTTGCTTCGGATCAGCTCATTGCTTGCAGCAGTGTACCTTGGGGGGCAGTACTTTGTGCGGTACAGTCCACCTTTCATCCGTTCCAAGCTTCCACAATTGATCCGAGATGCTTTTGCTCTCAAGCAAACAGTTGAGCCCAGTGATGGGAGATTGCCGGAGGCTGTCGCTGCTGATTCTGGATGGTTGGAGGAGAGCCTTTCGCAGCTGTTGCCTTCCATTGTTTTCTCTTTGCCATACCTGGCCTTGATCATGGTCCTCCTGAGCGACTTGCGCCGGTGTCGGTCAGCCAATATCAAGTTGAGACCGTTGAAACCCACCCAGCTGCTCTACGAGGAGTATTTTGGCATTGAAGGCAAGCTCTACGGCTTCAAAGTTGCAATGCTGCAGTTATTCACGGTGATGCTGCAGGCCTTTGGAAAGCTCCAAATTATGGGTGGCCTTGTGTCGTTTGCATTCCATTCAGCTCCGAAGCATTCAGGTGCATTCGAAGGATGTTTTTGGGCTTTTGTGGGTTTCCTCTGTTTGAACAGTATCTATCCATCGATTTTGTTGGCCTTCCCTTCTGTTAAGCGGGTGCGGCGTGGTGCTGCCATGATGGATGCAGTTCTTGATATTGCTTACACCAGCACATACCTCATCATCACCTTGCTGGCCATCCACGAACTACAGCTGGGCCAAGCCATTTCAGGAAATTTTGGGGATGAGGCTTCGGTGAACTTCCAAGCAGAATTGGACCCGGCATTTGCATTCCCAGCCGACTTTTTTGGTTTCTTTGCTGTCTACTATTCACTTGCACATGTTTGCACTGTTTGCCGTGCCTTGGAGCGAAGCCATCGATTGACCTACTGCAAGAAGTTGCAAAGCTTACCGAGCTCTGCTTCCCAGTCACTTCTGAGCCCATCCAGATTTTACTGCTTAAAGAGATTTTGCAAAGCCGTGCATTTTGCTTGCATTTATTTTGTCTCATGTTGTATCAACAATTTCCAAGCCATTGTGGTTTCGTAATTGGTCGCCATGTATCCAGCAACAGCCTCTGAACAAATGTATGCAGAGAGGGCGGGTTTTTGCAGCCTGATATTTTTGCTGAACGTTCTGAATCCTTTCTTTACGTCTTATACACCATGTATCACCATGTATTACCTGCTTGACCGCCCAGCAGCGAACAGGCTTCCGGCAGGTTCCAGGCTTCGCAAGAACCAGCATTTCCATGCATTTCCAGACTTCTGCAGTAATTATAGTTGCACAGGCTTCAAGAATTCCATAGAATTCCACAGTGCCGAGGTTCCAGGGTTCCGAGGTTCCGACGTTCCAGCGTTCCAAGGTTTCACAATGTGTGTTCAGCTGTTGCGGATTTCGAATTGGCTTATCGTCCACAGGGATACAGTGTCTTATTTCGATCATTTGAATTATCGTGGTTTGGGTGTTCTAGTACCCAAGCCCCTGAGATTTGGTTTCCGTGTTTCATTATTGAGCATATACAGATATATACAGCATGCTGTAGTGACTATAGTGATATTCCTTTTCATAGTATTCTGAAGGTGTGGTAGATTTGTTTGGTTGTTGTTTTTGTTGTTTCGCCTCGCAACCATTGCTCAGGTATTCACCCTGTTTGCTTGTCACGATCGTTGCTCTGCTGCTTTCGTCACACTTCTACCCGATTCACACAGCTGATTTCGGATGCTTTCCGTGCCGCTGTCACCAAAAGGATCATGGTGCAAAGCACCTTGCGAGCTGCAGCCTTGTAGGTGTTCTGAGCCTCAAAGATGTGAGTTTGAGCGAACAAAACATCACAAGTGTTGCAGACGATGCCTTCGCTTCTTCAAGGTGCTTGCAACGGTTGTCGCTCTCTGCGAATAGGTTGCCTGTTTTGCCTAAGGAGATGTTCGCTCCTTTGGACAGCTTGCAATTGCTGGACTTGGGCCGCTTGGGTTTGAAGCACTTAGAGTCTGACACATTTGCTGGGTTGTCAAGTTTGAGAATCTTGTCCCTCAGCCAAAATCGTTTGAACGTGTTGCCAAAAAACTTGCTGCGCCCCCTGCCAGCGCTGGAGCAATTGTTGCTCGGGGGTAAATCTGATGAGAAGGGCGAACGGATCATTGATGGAAATGAACTGAAAATACTTCCGCAAGAGCTTTTGCAGCATAGCCGGCGGCTACAAGTTCTCGATCTCAGCGAAAACAAGTTGACCTCGCTGCCACACAACTTCCTTGATAAAATTCCTTTGTTGGAGACCCTCGACCTTGCCTCAAACAAGCTGACTGAATTGCCAGGCGAAATCTTTTCAGGGCTCAACAAACTCCAGGAGCTGGACCTGGGTTGGAACAGACTCAGTGAGTTGCCTGATGAAGTTTTTTCTGGGCTCATCAACTTGCAGGATCTTGACCTGCATCACAACGATCTCAGCGAGTTGCCTGCTGAAGTCTTTTCAGGACTCAGCAACTTGCAGGAGCTGGACCTGAGTCGGAACAAGCTCAGTGAGTTGCCTGCTGAAGTCTGGGCCAACCTCTTTGCTGGGCTCAGCAACTTGCAACATCTCAAACTGGGTTTTAACAAACTGAGTAATAAGCTGCCTTCTGAAGTCTGGTCCAAATCGTTTGCAGGGCTCGGCAACTTGCACAAGCTGTACTTGAGCTATAACGATCTCAGCGAGTTGCCTGCTGGAGTCTTTTCCGGGCTCGGCAGGTTGCAGGAGCTCGACCTGAGTCACAACGATCTCAGCGAGTTGCCTGCTGAAGTCTTTGCAGGACTCAGCAACTTGCAGGAGCTGGACCTGGAGTGGAACAAACTCAGCGAGTTGCCTGATGAAGTTTTTTCTGGGCTCATCAACTTGCAGGATCTTGACCTGGAACACAACGATCTCAACGAGTTGCCTGCTGGAGTCTTTTCAGGACTCAGCAAGTTGCAGGAGCTCGACCTGAGCGCCAACAAACTCAGCGCGTTGCCTGCTGGAGTCTTTTCCGGGCTCGGCAGGTTGCAAGAGCTCGACCTGAAATACAACTCGCTCAGTGAGCTACCTGCTGGAGTTTTTGCGAAGCTCGGCAACTTGCACAAGCTGTACTTGAGCGGAAACGATCTCAGCGAGTTGTCTGCTAACGTCTTTTCAGGGCTCAGCAAGTTGCGAGAGCTCGGCCTAGGACGGAACGAGCTCAGTGAGTTGCCTGTTGAAGTCTGGGCCAATCTGTTTGCAGGGCTGAGCAGCTTACAAAAGATTTACTTGCGCAGCAACAAGCTTAGTGAGCTACCTGCTGAAGTCTTTTTCGGGCTCTGTAGGTTGCAGGAGCTCGACCTGGGTGGCAACTCGCTCAGTGAGCTACCTGCTGAAGTCTTTTCCGGGCTCGGCAGGTTGCAGAAGCTCAACCTGAGGTACAACTCGCTCGGTGAGCTACCTGCTGAAGTCTTTTTCGGGCTCGGTAGGTTGCAGGAGCTCGACCTGGGTGGCAACTCGCTCAGTGAGCTACCTGCTGAAGTCTTTTCCGGGCTCGGCAGGTTGCAGAAGCTCAACCTGAGGTACAACTCGCTCGGTGAGCTACCTGCTGAAGTCTTTTTCGGGCTCGGTAGGTTGCAGGAGCTCGACCTGAGTGACAACTCGCTCAGTGAGCTACCTGCTGAAGTCTTTTCCGGGCTCGGTAGGTTGCAGGAGCTCGACCTGAGTGACAACTCGCTCAGTGTAATGCCTGCTCAAGCCTTTTCAGGCTGAGCCAGTTGCAGAAGATTAACCTGAGGGCCAACAAGCTCAGCAAGTTGCCTGCCGAAGTGTGGGCCCATCTCTTCGCAGGTCTGAGCAACTTGCGGTGGCTGGACCTGGGGTCCAACAGGCTCGGCGAGTTGTCTTCTGAAGTCTGGTCCAAATCGTTTGCAGGGCTCAGCCTCTTGCAGGAGCTTTACTTGGACGGAAACGATCTCAGCAAGTTGCATGCTGAAGTCTTTGCAGGACTCAGCAACTTGCAGGAGCTGGACCTGAGTCGCAACAAACTCATTGAGTTGCCTGTACGAGGTTTTGCAGCGCTCAGTGACTTGCAGGAATTAGACCTATCGTCTAACTTGCTCAGTGACCTGAGTTCTGAAGCCTTTTCAGGGCTCAGCCAGTTGCAGAAGATTAACCTGAGGGCCAACAAGCTCAGCAAGTTGCCTGCCGAAGTGTGGGCCCATCTCTTCGCAGGTCTGAGCAACTTGCGGACGCTCAACCTGAGGTCCAACAGGCTCGGCATTTGCAGGGCTCAGCCACTTGCAGGAGCTTACCTTGGGCGGAAACGATCTCAGTGAGTTGCATGCTGAAGCCTTTTCCACGCTGGGCAACTTGCGAAAACTTGTCCTGGATGAGAACAGGCTCAATGAGTTGCCTGTTGAGATCTGGGCCCATCTCTTCGCAGGTCTGAGCAACTTGCGGACGCTCAACCTGAGGTCCAACAGGCTCGGCGAGTTGCCTTCTAAAGTCTGGTCCAAATCGTTTGCAGGGCTCAGCCACTTGCAGGAGCTTTACTTGGGCGGAAACGATCTCAGTGAGTTGCATGCTGGAGTCTTTTCCGGGCTCGGCAACCTGCGAAAACTTGTCCTCGATGGGTGCAGGCTGAATGAGTTGCCTCTGGAAGTCTGGGATCATCTGTTTGCAGGGCTCGACAACTTGAGGTTGCTCAACCTCGGTGACAACAAACTCGGCGAATTACCCGCTGAAGTCTGGGTCAATATGTTTTCAGGGCTCCGAAGTCTGCACACGCTTTGGCTAGCTGGCAATGATCTCAGTGAGTTGCCCGCAATTTGTTCGGCCATGATGTTTTGTCTCAACTTCTGAGATGGTCAACTGAGATGTCATGATGTCCGGCTATGCGGATGAAGGATTCCTTGTTTGTTTCGGCGAAAATGATGGGGTGCTCTGCCATCTGCCCGCTTGATAGGGTTGTGGGTAGGACTGGTTCCTGGGTATAGATCACACAGTCAAGCGACGAGATTTCACATTTCACCCACTTCCAACAACCCCTTTGAATCATTTTGAATCTAGTCTGGGGTAGTCTGTTTGCGGGGCTCGACAACTTGCAGGTGCTCATGCTGCATGACAACAAACTCGGCGAGTTACCCGCTGAAGTCTGGGCCAATATGTTTTCAGGGCTCGGAAGACTGGAAGAGCTTTGGCTGAACGGTAATGATCTCAGTGAGTTGCATGCCGAAGTATGGACCAATATGCTGTCAGAACTCGACCAGTTGCAGAAGCTTGTGCTGTACTGTACCGGTCTTAACGAGTTGCCTGCAATTTGTTCAAAAGTAGAGTGCTACAACTACTGAGATATCCTGCGGTAACACGCTGTCTGTTTCTGTCTATTTCTGTGAAAATGATGGGATGCCCTGCCTGGGGCTGGGATGAGGCGAAAAAAGAGCCTCTGCAGTCAAGTGACTAGATTCCACAGCAGCCCTTTTCAACATCTTTCAACGATCCCTTCCAACAAAGTAGTTTTATGTTGTGTTCGCGGATTCTGATGTTTTTACATGATTTTACGACTCGTTTTGGGAGTAGCGCATGCATTGGGTGAGCGAGGTCCAGTGTACCCACTGCAGTGGCACCTGGCACGCCGCAACTGGAGAGACGTTCTGAAAAGACTGAGGCACCAGAATTCAGTCCAGCCGGAGTCGCCAACGTTATCAAAGTCACCTTGAAAACTTTCTGGTCCTGTTGTTGTGATCTTTGGGTGGGGTTGTTGGCGTGGGATGTCTTCCCCAGTATTTCCAGCTTGCCTTTGCTTGGAAACTCGTTTTCAGTCTTTGTAGGGTTCGAGATTGGCCCTCTTGTGGTGAAAGACATCCAACGAGAAAAAGACAGTCTGAAGGGAGCAGAAGAGAAGTTGTTTCTTTGCAAAACGTGGAAAGAAGCCGCTGAGACAGGTGTAACCACTGTGTCGACCGCATGAAGTGCTGAGTGCTGCCATTCGGCACGCTGGGCCTTGGACCAGGCACCACTGGCTCCAAATGGGAACATCACGCCGAGAGTTTCTGAGTTTCGACAAGTTGTGGGTGTATGGCCATTTCTTTTAAGAACATGACAACATCAAACAACATAACACCATCTATAACACCATTTGAATCCAGAATCTGGTGGGGGTCGATCCGCTGGGTCAAATTCCATGGCTTAGCTTGGAGAAAGGTGCTTGGACTTGACCCTGAAAGATCTCAAATGTTTTGGTGCATTGCTTGAGGAAAGCTTTGCAGATAGTGACAATTGCCAGGGTTTCTAACATGGAGGACGATGCAGCAAGGGCTAGGGTTCATCCATGTTATCAATGCCAGAACTTGTATGGAAGAACAACACCTTCAAGAAGAGATGGTTTCCATTGTTTGCGGTCTTTACACCACTCAATGTGTGGACCGATGAAGGACAACCGTGTGACTATTCCGCAAGCTGCTCCGTATTACCGGCTTTTCGCATGTGCACACACCATTACACAACTTGTGTGGGGATTCCGATATTTAGACACCAGTTATATCCTGATAAAGGGCGCCTTATCCAAAAGTCCATCATTTGCTGGGACTATGTCCCCAGTGGAAATGGGCTTCGCACGGGGAAAAAGATGAGGGCTTCATCCCAGCGCTGCAGGAAGTTCACTGCGGCAGCTGGTCGAATGCCCAGCACTGCGCGATTGACGAGTTTCGAGAGTCGTGGGGTGAGGACATGGCCAGGGATTTAGAATGATTTAGAGTTGATACCAATTGACATACTACTAGTAACACGAGTTTTCATCATGAAAAACAACGAGATTATGACCTTGATTATCATTGGCAGCAACATTTCTGGAACATCTGGAAGATTTCGTACATTCCCATCATCTTTCAAGCATTATGCGGCCCATGGATTTTGGACGGGTCAACTGCATTGAGAGACAACGATTTTGGAACTTTCCGTTGAGGCTTGGTATTCTAAGAGAAACCCGGGTCCACCTTCCCTGTCCCAGAGAGATGTTGAGGCCCCCGGTGCAGGTGGCAAGTGCTTCCAACCCCAACATGTATCCTTTGGTTGTGAAACCTGGTGATAGGAAATCCTGCTTTTACAGTTGACTTTCCTATTGAAACATTGGGTTTCCATGGCCAGGCTAGATTGCCGGAGTATGTACATTTCCGAAATTCAAAGTTCGGAGTTCGGAGTAATTACATTATTTTTAAACCTGTGGTTCACGTGGTTCCTGAATCTCGTCCGTTGGCTTTTCGCTTGTCATCTCGACCCCCTCTGATCCTGCCCCGCAGCACGGACAAGGTGCATTTTGCCACCAACTCTGCCAGAGGACGCCACGTCAGCTGCTGTCCTTGGAATTAGAGTTGTTGGAAATTGGAGAAAATGTTCGTTGCCCTGTCCCCTTAGGGTTCCGGGCAAAGCCAACTTGATGCCCCCGATCTTGGTGCAACAGAATCTTAGAGTTTGGCGATTTCGCATCATTCATTGGTGTGGGTTCGACACCTGCAGGACTTCATTGCAGTGGTCCTGGAAGAGTGTGGAAACCAAGCATTGAACATTTAAATTGGCATGATGGATCAAAACATGTCGTATAGTATAGTATAATATCTGAGGATGCATTCCAGCTGTTTAGACATGGCTTCCTTTTTTAAGGGTTCTGTGAAGTGGTTTTGGTTGTTTCGGGCATGTTGGCCATGTTGGCCATGTTTATTGCATGTTGTCTTGCAGGTCGTTTGGTTGTTTTTGCCCCTCTGGCGTTTTCTCAAGACGGACTTGTACCGCATTTGCACTGTGCGGTGCTATTGACTTTGACATGAAAACCAACCCAGTCAAGCAAAACACATAAGAACAAAGCAACCTAATTTCATGTTTCTCAAGAGAAAGTTCCTGCACACCACGTGTTGTAGACTGCAGTTAGTGTAATTCGTACTGCTGGACAGCGCAAAGGATTCGCTGCCTCATGTCGGTCTCTGTGGATGTTCCTGGACATGGCAATTTCGATATCGCACCGACTTCTTCCAGCACCGCTGCTGACCTCATTTTACTGCTCCGTCAGCGTTTGCCAGACAGCCCATGGCATGGGAACAAGTTGCTGTCAAGTGGGGTCTGCCAGCTACAACGCGATGACGTTGTGGAGGCAACCCGCCACAGCACTTTGGTCTTGACAAACTACTCAGAGATCACCAACCAGGAGACAAATCCATAGAAATCCGAGATCTCCAGCACCGGCAAATCACGATTCAGAAACCAAACGCTAAGAAATGCCAATAAATATAGCTGCAAATGCAGCAGTGGTGATTGATTATGATGGTTTCAATTCGTGTGTTTGGGATTCTGCATGGGGGCCCGGGTCGGCCCCTTTGAGCATTCTTTCCTTGGTGCATTTAAGAAGTCAATCTTTGGATCGGACATTAAGCCCATGGTTTCACCATTGAGGGTACTGTATAATGGCAGAATGTTTTTTGAAGTCCAATGGTGAAAAAGTACCGTTATACAAAGCCATGGTACTGTATATTAAAGCCATGGTACTGTATATTAAGCCCATGGTTTCTCCATTCCGATTTTATTTTCTGTATTTGTTGGTCGCTCCACGTCGAAGGAGGCTTTCTGCATCGAAGATACTGCAGAGCGAGGGATCACCCGCGAGCAATTGGCAAAACTTGTTGCTTTCATCTCCAAAATGGCTGACAGATGGAGCGAAACGTTTGGAAAAGAGCGTGGGACAAGGCTGCAGTTTGAGACGTTCAACTTGTATCATGCGAATCACTGGATCATTAAGCCAGCCACCGAAGGTTATGAGAAAAAGGGCTGCAGCATGGTTGAGCTCATGGCGATTCAAGTCCAGAGACCTCAGTGGTTTGTGTCTCATGCTTGGATCGAGCCTTGACTGGTTGGCAAACTTTCGTGGTTTTTGGAGAGTTTGCCATTGTGTTTTGGCCAACAACAAGTATAGAATCCGTTCCCCCTGATAATCTGTATCCCCTAGAAACCTTTGTCTAGAAATGGACTTGTTAAGTTTGGAGCCACGCATTGGGTGATTTATCAAAATCAAGTGCGACATCCACAGAACGTCAATCATTTGGTTTGAAAGATGTTCAATTTTTGTACAGATCCGTCAGGAGCCAGTTTGCAAATTTCTGGCCTGCTTGGAGCAGCATGCTCTGGTGCGAGAACTCTCAAGCATTACACCCTATTGGGTGTGTGCGTATGCCAACAACCAACACTGCGTGGAAGAGGATATCAAAAGCAATCCACGCCGCACGTCATTCTACAAGGCCATGCAGATGTCTCAGGGAGTTCTGTTGGTGCTCGATTCGGCTGGAACGCCTTTTGAGAGGATTTGGTGCTGCTTCGAGGAGGCCATTGCTGCAGCCTTAGAATGTCTTGGGGGTGCAAGAAAGCATGAACTGTATCAACATGCGATACTGGGTGAAAGCCCTTTCTTGTCTCAGATAGCACTTTGTTGTCTCATCTCGGTGTGCCATGCGCAAGAAGTGACACAACCACTGGAATGAATTAATTACTGCATTATTTGTTATTTGGTATGATCAGCACAACGCATAGGCACGCAGGGATTCTTAACATGGCACACATTAGTTATATCAAGTTATATCCATTTGCCCCCTAACAATCCCTGGAGCAACGTGAGTTTCCCACACAGTGTGTACACACCCGGGGGTCTTGTGATCGGTCCTCCTCCTCCCTTTTCCTCCTCCTCCTCCTCCTCCTCCTCAGTATCATCATCTTCCTCCTCCTCCACATCATCATTCTCAGCATCGTCCTCGTCCTCCCCCTTGACATCATCATCGTTTCTCCGGGGCCGTTTGCGACTACGGCAACGAAAAGTCCTCCTTCGTGTTCTTCTTTGAGTCAGCCATCAACTGAGCTTTGGGACTATGCTTGGGCCGTGGCAGCCAAGATGCGAAACAAACTCATTCATGCTTTGAATGGAAATGGAGGTGGTGGCGCTAGGACCACCCAGAGAAAGCGCGCGGAGAAAGAGTGTGCCAGTGCCGGGGTGCATTTGAATGACAACATGTTTTCACAAGTTTTGCAGTTGCTCTCTTTGTCGCAATCGCTTTTGTCGCAGTTTGGTCAGTGCAAACTGAGTGGTGGCAATAATCAGAGCATTGGAAGTTTGCTGTCAAGTTTTGTTCAGCAGGGGCTGATTGACAACAAGCCGAAGCAAAAGAAAAAGAAGAAACCCAAAGTCACCAAGTGTGGCAATTGGGCCAATAGGGGTGCCGCCTCCCAGCTCAAGGTGGCCGAGCAACCAGTTGGCACGCATGAGCCAAAACTGACACGTCACAACAATGTGGGCAAAGCAACGCCTGCTCAGAGCATTGCCAAGCCTAGTCAGCCCCGTTCTTTTGCCGAAGTCGTGCGTCAGCCCACGGCTTTCCAACCTGTTTGGCAGCTTAGATCTAGTGACTGGGAAGGCGAAGTCCTTTCCTTTGACGAGCTGGCTGCCAAGATGGGATCACCTGATAGCATCCGAGCTGGGACTCTAGTGGAATTCTGATGAGGAACACGAAGAGTTGAAGGCTCTGATTGAAGGAGACAGCGTGAAAGATAGAGCCCTAAGCATCACAGTTGTGATGATGGCCAAAAAGGGTGATATCGCCAAGCCTCATGGCGAAATCACCCAAGTTCCCGGCAAAACACAAGGCAAAATCGCGCCACGTTGGGCGCATGTTGTGAGTGTTGGTGACAGTTGTCCCAAGCTGAAGAAGCAAGTGCGCAATGTTGATAGCAAGCCTCAAGTCCATGAGACAGTTGTGCTCCGGCTTTCTACTGAAGCGAGATACCATGCTGAACAGCGCTGGAAGAATGTAGTTGACCACCCTGCTGCAGCAGCACACAAATGGATCCATACACATGTTCCGGCTGACAAGCAGCTGCAGATTAGGGACATGTGGGGGTGGCAACTGGAATCCTGCAAGGGAGGTGGCAAGGCCTTAGTTTCAGCCCTTGTGCGGTTGGAGAAGTCAACAGTGAGCACAATGTTGGCCCTGTCTGGAAAAGACGCTTGGTTTGTGGAACCGTTGCGATGGGACCAGCCTGAAGTGCCCAAATGTGACGTGCAATGGGCCAAAAGAAAGTCACAAGAACCTGGACCAGCGTATGCGGCGCGCGTCCAAGGCATGGCCGGAAATCTCGGCATTGCCCGAGGCATCAAGAGTTTGGGGGTTCGAGTGCCAGCTTCAAATGAGAGCAAGGCCAGAACCAAACTGAGAACCTGGCGTGTGGCTGGTGTGCCCACTGCTTGGGGCCATGAGTGCCTCATACCTGAGTTGGAGGCGGCTGGTTTGTCCAACATTCAGCTCGCAAGTCGTATGGCAAGAAGGCCACAGTTTGTTCTTCACTGCCGTCAGCGCACCCGAAGTTGACTACTTGGAGCTCCACTTTGATGGAGTCCATATTGTCGCCAATGCCTTTTATCCTGCAAAAGGCCAACGATCTGAGAAAATTTGTTTGAAGACAAGTGGTGCATTGTCCTTCTCGCCTGAGTCCAGCCAGCCTGCTGGAACCGAAAGCACGAAGGCCAACAAGACACCTGAACGAACGTTCTATACTCTGTTTCCCCTGTGAAGAAGCAGAAGGCTGAGCCAGAGCAACATGGACAGGCCGCAGAGCCAGCTGCCCCCAGTACCATTGCCGAAGAGGTAGCTCCTGCAGAGACTGAAGCCATGGACACAACTTCGCCAGCAAAGGCTGCCACGAAGCGTCCGCTCAATTCGCCGTCCAAGGAGCCCAAGTCGAGCCCTAGGAAAGCTTTGATGCGGTCTGTTCCTACAGGCATGCAACGCATCAGAAACGCAGGTGCAGGGGATTGTTTGTTTCTGAGCATAGCCCAGGGATTGAACTTTGACAAGCCCAAGCCGCACAGAAGTATTCGTGCTGCTGTAGTTACGCATCTCAAAAAACATTCTGAGAGATACAAACCATGGTGGGATGAGAAGACTCCTGATGAAGAAGATTGTGCTTCCTGGGAGGAATATCTGAAGTTGGTTGCCAAGACAGGAGCCTATGCGGGTTGCCTTGAAATTGCTGCCGCGGCCGCCCATTTTGACAAGCAAATCTTTGTTTTCGGGCCGGCTATGCACTGTGAGGTGTACAATGACACCAGCGTCAATGGCTACATTTGTTTGTGGTATGACAGCAAGCATTATGAGCTTTTGCAAGGCAGTCTGCCCGAAGCTCTTCGTGCGGCTGCATGCAAGGGACCCTTGCAAGGAGGCCGGGGCGGGGTTGCTCACAGCAAAGCCTCCAGCTGCCACCTGCACCTCGGCCTTGCCCAGCGTGTGCTCTAGTCGCACTCGCAAATCTGCGTTGCCAGCTGCTTTTGTTCGTCGCATCAGCAGTGTTGCTATTGCGTCAAGCGCTGGCTCGGTGATTTCCCGAGCTGAAAGTCAACGTGTCAAAGATGTTCATGTTGACCCTGATGAGCTTCACACTTCTGATCCCAAGCGAAGTGTCCAAGCTGCCGCTTCTAGCAGCAAACCCAGCGCCAAACCTACCAAGAATGAAGCCA